AGTGCATTTAGACGCATTCCTCTCCTCTCAACCTGGACGATGGAAACAGCGTTTATCTCAGTGCCCTGCCTGGGTCAGCATGTGCTGGAGGATCACCCGGCTTCTGGTACTTACAGAAGCCACAGCTTCAGTTAAGTAACCCACTGGGAGCTAGAGAGGAGGAGGCCGGGCAGGAAACCAGACAGGGTAGCCAGAGCATGCCAGCATGGATCCTGGGCCTTGATCCTCCAGCTCCCCCAGCCCTAATCATGTCTGGAGGGACCAATTTATCCTAAGTAATTAACAAGAGTGGGGATAATACCACAGGAAATGAATGTATTCGTTTACAAGGCAAGTCCTTGAGTCCAGTAGCAGCAGCAGTATTGTTCCCTCCTGAGGATAAGACAGGCCAAGGCTCTCACATAAGCAGAAGGCTGCTCAGAATGTACAAGGAGCACAGAGGGACCGGGGAATTCTTTAAAGGGAGGTAAGTGATGTTGAAGTACAAATGAGATAATATATGGGAAGATCCAGGCATAAACTGGATATCATCACCCAGCACTATTTTTTTAAAATATATTTTTATTGATTTCAGAGAGGAAGGAGAGGAAGAGAGAGAGAGAAACATCAATGATGAGAATAACCAATCAGCTGCCCCTTGCACCCCCTGACAGGAATGAGTCCGAAACCCGGGCACATGCCCTGACTGAGAATCGAACTGTGACCTCCAAGTTCATAGGTTGATGCTCAACCATTGTGCCACACCAGCTGGGCTGAACTATTTTTTTTTTTTTAATGGATAACTTCCATTTGCAAAGATAATGCATGTCAATTAGTGACTATGGAAAACATTAATACACCAAAAGGAAAAAATTAAAACCGCCTCTCATTCTATCATCCAAAGGGAAGTGTTGGTAGTACTATAATAATTGTCCTGCCAGGTTTTTTTTATTAAAAATTATTTTTCTTTATTTTCAGAGAGGAAGGAAGAGGGAGAGACAGAAACATTAATGATGAGAGAAAATTATTGATCAGCTGCCTGCTGCATGCCCCACACTGGGGATCAAGCCCGCAACCTGAGCATGTGTCCTTGACCGGAATCGAACCTGGGACCCTTCAATCCACAGGCTGACGTTCTTTCTGTTGAGCCAAACCAGGTAGGGCATGTGTATTATTATTTTTTTAAAGCAAAAATGGAATCCTACTACCATGTGGTCTTACACCTACTCTTTTCACTTCTGAGTATTCACATCATCTGGTGTCTTTAAATTGTCTTCTACAGCATCATTTTATAAAAAATGTGTGGCATAGTGCCCTACCATATGGCCAAACCATCATTTATTCAACAAATCTCATACTGTTGGGCATTTTCACTGTTATAAACCGTGCTGAAGCGAATGTCCTTTATTTCTCCCCTATATTGAGTTTCCTAAAGGAGAATTGTTGGTCCATACTGACAAACAACTTTGCCAAACCTTCTTTCCAGTTTATGTGCCCATCTGCCACGTCCAACAATGCTGGTGATCTTAACGGCAGGTCAACCCTAGGTTTTGTTCCTTTTTTTCTCTCTCCAGCAGCTGTAACCTGATCGCTTTCTCTCCTCCACTCTAGAAATATTTCTGTCCAGATACATAAATTTGACCTCCTAGCCTCTCAAGGCCTTTTCTTCCCTGTCTTGTTCTGGAAACACAAGCTCTATTATCTCCTGCCGATTTTTCACCCCAGCTACCACGTCTTGTCTCCCCGAGGAACCATGATAATTAGTTAGATGGCTGTTTATCTGCTGTTAGTTACAGGTCCCAAATCTCATCAGCCTTGTTCACAAATCTCATCTGGGGCGAGTTCTTTCCTGAGAAGATTGCCACAGAGAATGCCATTCATTTTCTGTTGACACTCCTGGCTTCCACTTCCGAGAGGGAGGCTCTGGCTTTGTCTCTGAAGGCAGGGGTGGGGAAGAGGGTATTTTATCAAAGCTGAAAGTAGCAAATTGGGTTCCAGGGACAAATAGCAGGAAATGAGGGTTCAGATCAAAGGAAGGGCACCCTTGGGGGGAAGGGGAATGGAGAGAGCAGAGGCCCTTGTTCACATGTGCATTCCTTGGCTCTGGCCCACATCACTCCAACCTCTGCTTCTCTGCCTCTCCTGTCTCATTTGCCTTACAATGATCCCTGTGACTACATTAGGCCCACCCAAATAATTCAGGATAATCTCCACACCTCCAAATTCTTCGTTTAACCAAGCTGGCACCTTTTGCCAGGTAATCATAGGTTGTGAGGATTAGGACTTGGACATATTTGGGATCATGATTCTGTCCATCTCACCTGGGCAAGCCACTTTTCCTCTCTGGCCTGATTTTCTCACCTACAAATTGTGAGTCTTTGGCAACAAAAACTCTCCAGGGTCCCTTTGTGGTTTGGCTGGTGGAAACATTTTAAAATGTGAAAGGACTGACGTGTAGGAACTGCATTGAAATTCTCCTTCGTTTCCCTCATTCTTTCTCTGGGAGTCGGCAGTCTGCCCCAAATGCTACTGATGCCCTTTGTACTTATATTTCTATTCTTTGGACAAGTCTACACAAGTCCTCGCTATGGGGAGTGGTAACCTCTATTTTATAGGGGCATAGAGAGGTGAGTAACTTACACAAGATCACAGAGTAGCAGCGTTGAGGTCAAACCTCGGATGTCTGACCGTCAGGCCTGTACTCTTAACCACAGGCGGCCCAGCCTCTCCTCAAAACCCTTTACCCAGTCATACAGCCATTGCTTAAATCTCCTCTAGACTGGGAGCGCAGGAGCCTTGTCTAATTCTGTGAATCTTGGCTTTGATATCAGCCTGACACACAAATAAATGAAAAATAAATGAAAAATGAATGAATGAATGAGAGTCATGGTTGCAGGACATAATAATAAACATTTATGGGACACTTCAAACAAGTGTGAGCGCTGTAAGGCAGGTACTATTACTCTCATTTTACAGACAAGTAAACTGCAGCAGAAAGAGGACTAGTGACTTGCCCAAGGTCAAGAACTGGATTTGAGCTGAGATCTGCTTGACTTTCACATTTGGATCATGAAGGTCAGCATGAACTCCCTGAGTCCTGGGTGTTTACCCTTAGCGGGGTATCTCAGTTGGTTAGAACACTGCCCCCATGCGCCAAGGTTTTGGGTTCAATCCCTGTCAAGGCATGTGCCAGAATCAATGAATGAATGCATGGGTAAGTGGAACAACAATTGATGTTTCTCTATCTCCCTTCCTCTCTAAAATCAATAAATAAAATAAAAAATATTAAATAAATTTGGGACCATGTATGACTCTAGACAACCAAAGAGAAGGAAAGAAACAAAGGAACATTTTACTGAGCAACTACCATATGCCAGGGCCTTGGTGTCAGGTCAGGAAACTAAGGTTAAGAGAGATTACTGGTAGATCCAGGATTCACAACTAGGTCTAACTCCAAAATTCACAATCTTTCCACTATCGATAGCCCTCTGGGCCTCAGTTCTGTCATCGTGGAATGAAGGAGTTAGGTGAGGTGATCTCTGTGCTCCAATTCTGCTTAGTTTTTAAAAGCCAGCATTAGTTGTGTGCTTATTGCATGTCAGGCACTGTGCTAATGTCACATGCATTATGTAATTTCATCCTCACAACACTTTTTGAGGTGCTCCTATTATTATTTCCACTTTAGAAATGGGAAAACTGGGGCTCAGACATACAGATTTTGTCCAAGGTTATATGGCTACCAGGAAGCCCAGCCTGAGTTTTAACTTAGGCTTGTTTGATTCGTAAGCCAAGCTCTTACAGCAGACTTAACCTTTGGAGTGAGAACATCCTGTGTTCCTACAGGATCGGAACAAGGCTGGAGTCGACGTGGGATGAGTTCCTCCGTGCGTGGGCCCCTCTTCCTTGGGATTTCAAAGACTCACTTCAGTCAAGTTCTGTTGGAGTCAAAAGGTGACATCCTTCCGTGGACCATTGGCCAAGGCTCAGAGCCCGGCCCTGGCACCTCCAGGGCTTGGCTGTTGTCTTTGATCTTGTTGTCAAGGCAACCCTGGCTGGCTCTGTGGCTCTGTAGTTACTCTCCCTCTTGCTTTCTTGTCATCCCCACTTTTCAGACAACACACGAGAGATGGTAGATCCAAGTGGCCCTCTTGTCAATGTTTGAAGACAATGCTGACCTGAATTAAAAGGTTTCCAGGATCTCCAGGGCCTCAAACAGAAAAAAATCATATTCTCTAAACATTTTGAGAGCAGAAGCTGTCTGTCTCTTCACAGCTGCGCCCCACCTAGAGCCTTCCACAGTGGCTGGAGGAAAGCACGTGCGCAGTAAACGTTGAATGGATAAAAAGGGGCTCTAAAGGAATCAGCCAGAAAACAGATTTGTAGTAGCCCTCAGAAAAAAGTACACGTGTGTGTATACATGTGTGTGTCATGTGCCCCAAAGTAAAAACTCAACTATCCTTGTGATGTGCTATCTATCTCCACTCTTTTCTACATCTGTGACCTGGAGCTGTCACTGTATACCGTTCCTGCACAGCCCCCCTGGGAGTTTTGGTCTGAAGAATTTTTTCTTTCTCTTCCCATCTCATTCATTCTTCCCTCCTCTTCCTCCTCCTCCTCTTCCTCCTCCTGCTTCTTCCCTTCTTCCTCCTCCTCCTCCTCCTCCTCCTCCTCCTCCTCTTCTTCTTCCTCCTCCTCTTCTTCTTCTTCTTCTTCTTCTTCTTCTTCTTCTCCTTCTTCTTCTTCTTCTTCTTCTCAATCTCTCTCTCTTCCTCCCTACCTCCTCTCTCTCCTCTATCCCTATATCTATCTTACACATAATACAAAATTCACCATTTTAATCATTTTAAGATGTACAGTTCAGTCATGTTATGTACTAGTATATTCACACTGCCATGCAACCAATCTCCAGAACTCTTTTCATCTTGCAAAACTGACTCTGGCTTGTGTTGTCTCATTTTCATGGACTATCTGGGATTTTAGCTACAAATATATAGACAGTGGGTTTCAAACTCTTTAGTGAGTTTCAATGTGGTCAGGACAGTATTGGTGCTCAGTACATGTCCACTGGTTAATTGATTTGGCTCTGTTTAATTTTTTCCTGCATGCTACAATTTCTTGGTTTAAGGGCAAGTTTAGTTTTATGATGCACCTGACAACTATAAGTACTTCTCGACTGCCCTCTCATGGAAAGATGAAGAAGTGAAACTCAGAGCAATGTTCGTCTTTTATGCTGGAATAAAATGGCCCCCTTTTTTTCCTAACTTCTGGACTTCACACCATCCAAAATTGTGATTGATTCAAAGTTGTCAGTTTATCCTCACCTTATAGATGAAATTGACATATAGAACAGTGGTGCATGACCAATTTAAAACATTTAAAAAATATTTTATTAATTTTTACAGAGAGGAAGAGAGAGGGATAGTTAGAAACATCGATGAGAGAGAATCATCAATCAGCTGCCTCTTGCACACCCCCTCCTGGGGATGTGCCCGCAACCAAGGTACATGCCCTTGACTGGAAACGAACCCGGGACCTTTAAGTCTGCAGGCCGACGCTCTATCCACTGAGCCAAATTGGTTTCGGCAATTTAAAACATTTTTTAAATCTGTTGCAAACCAATCCATTTGTAAAATATGATAAAAACAAATCCATAGATACATTACATTTAAAAACAAAGACATACAAAACAGAAATCTAATTTTTATTATCAGATTCAACAGACAACATTACATTCCAACAAAAATAATCAGAACAAACACAACAGGGAAAAAATAACATAATTGCAAAATCTGTATGTGTTGTTCATTGAATGTGCATACTATAGGTGATTAATACAGAGAATTGCTTCTATGCTAATAACGTTTGTTGTTCTGCAATCGTAACTAGACAACAAATTCTAAGTGAAAGATAGTGTTTCCTCACTTTGAATGAACACCATATTTATTAACAGGAAGGTTTTTTAATAGACAAATGTACATGTATGACTTGTTAGCCTAATCCAGGCAGAATGGAACAGAATACTACTCAGAAGGTAGGTACAATGTAATTTCATCTTCAATGCCTATAGAAACTGTTTCTATTGTATGTCTTGCTTTAATAAGAACTGTGGAGGAGAAGCCAGCTCACAGAGGTTTGTTGATGGAATAGAAGAAGAAATTTTATTTTATTTATTGTTTTAATAGAAATTATTTTTTTCTTTTAAAATATATTTTTCTTTTAAAATATATTTTTATTGATTTCAGAGAGGATGGGAGAGGGAGAGCAATACTCTTCAGTGATGAGAGAGAATAATTGATTAGCTGCCTCCTGCACGCCCCCTGCTGGGGATTGAGCCTGCAACTTGAGCATGTACCCTTTATCAAACCCTTCAGTCCACAGGCCACGCTCAATCCACTGAGCCAAAATGGCTAGGGCTGAAGAAGAAATTTTAAAGCATTTTCAGCAAGCTCAGGATTTTCATGCTTTACTTGAATCCAATGTGAAGCAAATGATTCTAATTTTCAAAATTCATCTTCAATTCTCTATCAATATTGTCTTTTCTACCAACTTATCCTATTAGGGTATATAAATCAAATCATCTTTCAATTAAAGTAATGGTTTCTGGATCTGTGAATTTCCCATGCATAGATCCTTTTTTGATAGAAATAAAATGTAAACAGTTCGGTCAAATCTGTAAGGCATTTGGCCATAACGTTTCACAGATGTGCAATATCAAGATGATCAAGTACTTTATAGAAAATTGTTAAATTATGAAACATTATCACAATCTATGAAAATTCTGTTCTTTTAAGCTTCTAACTCCATTTTGCTCTTCAATCTTATCTGCATTGAAAATCATGTTGTATTCTTTCCTTGCTTAGAAGTAGAAAGAACATAAAAAAAATGCCCAAAAAATGCCTGGCCAGTGTGGCTTAGTGGTTGAGCATTGACCCATGAACCAAGAGGTCACTGGTTTGATTCCTGGTTAGGGCACATGCCAGGATCCCCAGTAGGGAGTGTGCTGGAGCCACATCTATCTATCATCTATCTATCTATCTAGCTATCTATCTATCCCTCTCCCTTCCTCTTTCTCTACAAAAATCTATAAAAACATATTTAACAAAACAAAACAAAACAAAACAAAACACACAGCAAACAAAATCCTGGACTTGATGGCTTCACAGGGAGGTTTAAAAAAATTTTTTTTTAAATGCCAAAAATATCACACAAATAAATAAGTCCTTTGTCCAAACCACATGATTAAAAGATTGGGATCTTGAAAAGGTGGGTGTTTTTTTTTTGTTTTTTTTTTACTTCCTAGGAACGCTAAAAATTCCTTTCAAATTTAAACATTCCTAATAGAACTATGTCCTTAAGTAAGCATCTTATCTCAGCGTGCAACAACAGTTACCATCAGCTTTCATGCTATTACATAATGAAGAATCTTCTCAAATTTAATAATTACCTCTTGCACAATTCACCATTTTTTACTATGTAACTAGACACTGTTTAGTTCAGGTAAATTTTTTTCATTGCAGAATTTTCTTAAAAAGGAAGCAGTGTGTTGATTTACATTCTCATACGACACCTTTAGTTGGGAAATAACTTCTGTCAGTGCAGCTGCACCATTAGAGCACCTTGGACACCAAACTTAAACTAAAACCATATCCCTTGGCAGTGTGATCCCTCATAGTTTTAAACAGTTCAGAGCTAGTTGTGTTTTCATCAATGAAACTGAAAAGTTTCCTCTTATCTCCAGCATGTTCAAATTGCGTATTGTACTAAAGTAATTGTCATGTGAGCAGAATGTGTGTGTTCAACAACCCCAGAGGCTGAGATGAAACTGCAGCCTGGCCTACACTTACCTCTCATTAACTACAGCTCTACATTTATTGATGTTCTTTCTTTTGATGTAAAATCCACATATAATGACATGTAAAAATCTTAAGCGAATAGTCACAGATTTTTGATAAATGCATAAACCTTCGAACTCAAATCACTGTAAAGAACATTACCATCAGGTCCCAGAAAATTCCTTTGTATTCCTTCCCAGTTGCCTCCTAACCTCCTCAAAGCAATCACTTTTCTGATTTTTTTTCAATCATAAATTTGTCTCACTTGTCCTAGAACTTCATATACATAGAAATATGTATTCATTTGGAATATATATATATGAGTAAATCTCTTAAGTTTCATCAGTATATATTTGAGCTTCACTCAGTATAATTTTGAGATTCATCTATGTCATTGCATCTATCAGTAGTTCATTTTATTGATTGAGTCATCAGTTGGTAGATATTTGGGTTGCTTCTAGTTTGGGATCATTGTATCAATAAATAAAGCTGTCATGAACATCCTTACAAAAATCATTGAGGACATATTCGGTATGCTCATCTTGGGCTTAGATCATAGGATAGATGTATATTTAATTTTACAATAAAGTGGTTGTATCACATTACATTTCTAACATAAATGTGAAAGAATTTCAGTTGAGAAAGAGAGAGAGAGAGAGAGAGAGAGAGAGAGAGAGAGAGAGAGAGAGAGAGAGAAAGGATTCCACAATCCTTTGAATTCCAGACCCCAAAGGCATTCTGTGGGTCCAGGGACACAGCCCGCTCCGGGTCCGCGCTTTTAAACAGCCCGAGACCACGTGACCGCCGGCCCGCACAGCTATTGGCCCTCCGGCTCCCATACTTGGCTTTGGCGCCGAAGGTTCCCTGTCGTGGACGCAACCATTGGCTCCACGCTCTGAGGGAAGACGAGCCAACCTCGCGTCCATGGCTTTACCGACTGAAGCTTCCGACTAACTCTCAGGAAACCTTCGGCTACAAATATAAATGTAATGATCAAACGCAACCCACCTAAGGACGCCGGAGAAGCCTCCTTTTCGAAGTCATATAGAGCAGACCCGACCCTGACTCCCCCTACGCTTGGTTGGGAAAACGAGGGTGGTTCCGTCCGAGGCGCGGGCTCCGCCTCCCGGGCCGCCGCCATTTTGTTTGGCTGGCGGGACGGCGCGGCGCTTAGGGGGAGGGGGCCCTTAGGTGTCTTCCCTGACCCCGCGGCCGCGCGGTTGTTGTTTCTTCCCGCGCAGCCCTTCTCCCCGGTCGGGGTCACGGCGGAACCATGTACATAAAGCAGGTACGGTCTGCGCGCCCCTCACAGCCGGCACGGCCGCGGGAGGACCGCTCCTGCAGGCGGGGATGTCGCGGCACGACCTGCGGCCGCCCTGCTCGCGGCCCGGGGGGACCTGGGCAGGACGGGGACTGGGGGGACGGAGGGGACGGAGGGGACGGAGAAAGGCCCGGCCCCGGAGCGCGGGGGCCGCGGAGAATTGGGGCGCCCCTCTGCAGCCCGGGCCCCGTGCAGGGCCTGGTGTGGAGGAGAAAGGACCTGGGGGAGGTGTGGAGGCCGCGGGGCGGGCCTTGTGGGGGGATCGGGCCTTCCGGGGGCGGGGGCAGGGGCGGGGGCGGGGGGGTAACGGGGGCGGAGAGGCCGGGAGCGGGGAGGCCAGGAGCGGGGGGTGCTGCGGGGGGGGGGGGGGGATGAGTCTCCCCTGCCCGGCCCGCACCTCCCAGGGGCGGGAGGCACAGGCTGGGTGGGTGTCAGCTTCCCGGGCTGCCCATCTCCTCCCCGTCTGACCGGAGCAGGAAAAGGGACTGGATTCGGGCAGAACGTGCAGCGCCTCCTGCTTGTTTACATCTGTCACATCGGCATCCCGCGCCCAGTCCCGCACTAGGGAGAGCCCATCCGCGGCCCTTTGGGGAAGTTTCCCTGTCGGAAATGTTAGGCTCTCGGCACTCCTTTCTTTTTTCTTTCTTTCTTTTTAAAAAAATATATTTTATTGATTTTTTACAGAGAGGAAGGGAGAGGGATAGAGAGCTAGAAACATGGATCAGCCGCCTCCTGCACACCCCCCTCCGGGGATGTGCCCGCAACCCATGTACATGCCCTTGATCGGAATCGAACCTGGGACCCTTCAGTCCGCAGGCCGATGCTCTATCCACTGAGCCAAACAGGCCTCAGCTCTTTTTTCTTTCTTTTTCTTTTCTTTCTTTTTTTTAAAAATACATTTTTATTGATTTTTTACAGAGAGGAAGGGAGAGGGATAGAGAACTAGAAACATAGATGAGAGAGAAACATGGGTCAGCTGCCTCCTGCACACCCCACTCCGGGGATGTGCCTGCAACCAAGGTACATGCCCTTGACGGGAATCGAACCCGGAACCCTTCAGTCCGCATGCCGGTGCTCTATCCATTGAGTCACACCGGTTTCGGCTAGTACTCCTTTCTTGTAACGTCTCTTTTTTGGGGGTGCTGTCCCGGGTTTCTCTCGGATGAAAAAAGCTGGGGCCAGCCTGCCTAACTTGACACATTTCCTCGAGCCCTTCAGATTGGGGGTCCAGCGACCCCTACCCCAGGGTGCTTGGTTTTGAGACGCCCCGAACCCATGAAAACTTAAACACCCTGGCAATGGTCACTGATACACGGACGGTGTGTCCTCCGACGACGATTTTTATAATCGCCACTTTCCACAATGCAATATTCTTAGGAGAAGTCAACAGTCTTCTATTTTCAAGAAGAAACCAGAAAGGGCAAAGAAGTGCAAAAGAAAACGTTTTTTAGAAGTTATTTCTTGGTGTGTGTTCTGAAAAAAAAAAAAAAAATCGCTTTCATTTATTTGTTAGGTGATCATCCAGGGTTTTCGAAGTTACAGAGATCAGACCATTGTAGATCCCTTCAGTTCAAAGCACAATGTGATTGGTAAGTGTTCGTGGCTCCCGAGATCGGATTTATACCTTTGCAGCCGTTTACATTCTGCCTGTGTCTGGGCTGACGGAGACAAAGTTACCTTTGAGCATACATAACTGTCTTTCTTTGTATGACATAACTTATTTGTCTTCTGTCTGCACTGATGAATTGCTTACTTTACAGTATTTGAATGAGACAGTCACACATTACTTTATTTGGGTTTACTGTGTGTGTGTTTGCACAGCTTTAAGTTGATAGTGAATGACACTAAA